TTATCTTTCCAGTTGACAGGGCTAAAATGATTATTATTTACATAAGGCTTGCAGTAGTAAGATAACTATTTACAGACACGCCTTGCTGATGAATGCTTTTAAGCACGAAGCATGGCTATAAGACTTCTTATCCACTGAATTTTATCGTCTAAAACTAGTTTTTCAAGTATTATTTTACTATGAATACTCGTAGTTTTAGTTGTCCAGGTGTTCTACATGTTTTGTTGACATAAGTAACCTCAGCCAAATGAAATGTTTTCTCCCTTTGAAATTAAACTATACTGATTGTTCACGCAGTAATTCGTTAATATATGTCAGGCAATTAGTGTACTAAGAAAAAGGACCAAAGTATGATAGATAAGATCATCAATTATTTATTGGATATCAAACTGTCTTACCAAAAAGAGAAAAACGGGATGTGACTGGTTGTGACATGAAAGGATGGGTCGCGGCAGGATTCCAACTAGTGACTTCTTGATCATCAACCTAAAGCTTTACTAAATGAGTTGCGATTTTAAGATGCTTACCAGGTCTTCTTTCCAGAAAACAAGGGTTTCGCTAGGCTATCATGTGAATGCCTAATATGTAACTGTCCACATCACCCTGTCTCATGTTCAGGCTTAATTCTAAACAAGTTGGGCTTCAGCTTCAAAAATTTTGTCAATGAGAACTAAGATTATGACAATAAAAGCCGTAATAAGTATTGTAAAGCAATTAAGTTCTGTTCACTGGACGTTTTGAAGTAGATGTAACATGACAACTACAGTGTAATCGTAGTATTAAATACTTCAAATCTACTGAAACCTCAAAAGCCTTGACATTCTTAGATAGAATAAACAGTTTACTTGGAAAACAACTTTTGAACTGATACATTCGATACCATGCAAATTCAACAAAAAGTAGTTATTCTGTTCATTTAAAGATGAAACTTTTATTATTTATAATCTTCTGATATTCATTAATTTCAGTTTTGATCCCCAGCATACTGTTTCTTGAGCAGTAGATATTTACTCATGCTACTGGATATTACTGCTTGCTACCGGAAAGGCATCATCATTATTTTTTCACCTTACAATCTTAGATTTACATGAGAATAAACCGAATGTTTGTAATGAGCTTATTACTAGTTTACATTTGAAACTGTTCAAAGGAATTAAAAGTTTAGAAACGACTTTGTCCTTTATGTTCAATGAACTGAAAACCCTTGTGCATTAGAAAGGTTTGCGCATGACAACAATTTCTGAGCAAGGGACTGTAATGAGTAACATCAATCTTAATACTCACGTAATTAGGCTTCATGAAGATTTCCAGAGTGACAGAAATTTCGATATACATTGGCCTGATTGAACTTCACATTTCTTAAATTATCTAAGCTTCAGACACTCAATTTTTCCACAGTTTATAGGAAAAGACGACACGTGGTTATTGCGAAGAAAAATTTTTATTTTCGACGAAGCGATTTACTTAGCTGTACATTCGGGAATATATGTTACAGTAAGGAGAATGTCCCAAAACTATTTCCGGTTAGGGGACAAAATATACTGAATAACTAGAGGAAGTTAATGAATACATATTTGGGTTTAGAATGGAAAAGTAGACAAGAGATTATGAAATTAAATGTGACTATGTAACACAGGATACTTCCATGGTGGAGTAGGAAAATAAACAAGGGATTATGAAGATAAGTTTGTAACTATGGGATCCCAGATGAATCTATGACAGAGTAGGCAGATACACAAAGGGTTATGAAAATACATGTATAGTTACCTAATACAGGATGAATCTATGACAGCCGAGACTTCATGATGGTCATGGTAAAGATAAAGGTAGGACATATGTTTTTTTGAAAATGCAACGCTGGTTTGAACTTCTGAATGGCTAGTGTTTCAAATAAAGCTAAATCCCTTGATCCTGCTCTCTTCGAGTGGTTTGATTGAACCCTATAAAGGATTTTGAATGAGCTCTCAAAAGGAGCTAGGTGGCCTGAGTTCATAAGGTGTTCTCTTATTGAAATGAAAATACATTTCCGTTCTCCACTTTGACTTCATCAAAAAGAAGAATTTTTCTTCGCCACAACCGATCGTTGTCGTTTCCATAGGTGTATAGATGCAGGTAGTAACACGGTTCTCACTGTTTCATTTCACAAGCTTCAATTAATTTTGTCGACTAATTCACTAGTTTCAGACAAAATGGATTGATTTTATTTTTAAATTCTTCGGTTCCTCCTCTCTTTTAAGATACACTATGCCTAAAACATTTCTGAGGAATAACTTTGTCAGTTAATTGCTTATAAGTTTTTGAGTTTCACTACTTATCACTAGTGGCATAATTCAAATTGTATTAATTCTCAAGCTTTGAGAACAATGCTACGAAATGAAACGCGCTCACCTACCATGTTCACATTCATGCAGTAGGCAGTGAGCCACATCTATTGTGTAACGGTTAATGATGCTATCTGGCTGCACAAACCTCTGTAGATGGAGCAGAGCTGTCTGAAAATACAATTTCTTGAATAAGAGAAGAAGAATAAGAAAATATTTAAATAGTAATGAGTATGCTACCAGATTAAAAGTTCCCTTTGATCTAAAAAGATGAATATTACGGGCATTTATTTTAAAAGTTTTAAAGAAAAGAATCAGTGGATAGCAACCGGTATGTAGGCTGCTTATCAAGTTGCTAGTATGTTGATTATTTTCAGTTTTGCATGAAACATTGAAACAAGCACTTTTGAACACATTATGTTATCTTTGGTATACTTTTCAGATGAAATTTGAATAATTTCAAATTCTTTTGGATTTAAAAATCCATATATGTCTATCACTTTACCTGCTCTTACACAGCTAGTTATGTAGACGACATCTCTGAGCACTATCCTGCGTAGCTTTCCAGAGGGGAATGCAAGTCAAGCAACAGTCTAACTCTAGTCGTGTCGCTTCCCCGCAGTCTTCTTTCCAAATCCTATATATAGTCAAGGAAAACGGCTCAAAAAGAGTACTTATTCGTCATTTATGCATAGCAGAGGTATTAGCAATCCAACAATCAAAACTTGAGCTCTGCGTACGAAAAGAGGTATGTCAACTGTATCATTTTGCCGTCGTCATAATTCTTCTTTGAATTAGTTTACTGCTTCAGTGTTCATCTTACTTTTACTGACTGATTACTTACCAACACTTTTGATTTCTTTGATTTACTTTGTGGTTTACTTCCATGCAAGCTTACATGTTAGCTCTAATCTCTCATTAAAATTCTCACAAAACTTTACTCCGATTATTGATTGAAATTATTATCGTTTTTGACCCGTTTATTTTTTAACCTGCTAGTTACCACGTTAATCTACTGCATACTTTCCTTACATACACTTGATTGTGAGATTCCTTATTAGCTCTACAATTGACCCACTATTTCATCCTATAGCTCTCCGTTTTGATGACCTAATGTTGACCTATTAGGCAATAACAGACTATCTGTTTCTTTGTTATTACTATAAATACGATTGTACAGCTGCTGAAAATAATTCGTTGAAAAAAACCTCCTTCGAAGAATTAATTTGTATAAGGATCCGAAGTCTTGAGAAATGATTAAGCATAGATATAAACAATTTTGAGGTTCGTTTTGTGACTCGAATTTCCTACTTACCTACATCTAAGCAACCGAAAGTATCTGCACGGAAAACCGTAACTTTCTGTTATGTCACTGGTGGTCAGTTAGTGAAATAATCATTCTGCTTAATCTCAGATTGCGAAATACGTCGTTCACTGACAAAAGCTGTAGACCATTTCAACTAATCATCAATGCTTGTTGACAAGATTAAGTTGATCTCATAATTAAGTCAACTTTCCCTATGTTTTGGGCCCAGCTCATCCGCTGTGTGAGCCGCTTGATTCATTTCACAGAGCTGAATCGTTCAAAGCACCCTCATTTCAGTTAGTCACTTGAGTTGACTCGTCATACCTAGAATAAAATCAGATATTTGATTTTACTGTTGTGCACTGGTGATGTATGACAGAAGTCTATAGTTTCCCCAGTCATGCGATGATATTTGTTTTACAGCTTTCATGCTAACAGTTAACGCTAGTCATGTCGTCGAGTAACCTACATTATTTGATCTGAATATTTTAGTTTCCGCAGGAAACCAGGGAGAAGTTCTTAACCATCCACCGTGTATTTTGAAAGCACCCTATTTGGTTCTGACACTATTTTACAACCATATTACTGAAAGAAAAGAAAAAGAAATACTTCCTAAATGAAAGCAATGAAAGGATCCAAAGGATGTAAAGTTGAGTTACACTAAAATTGAAAAACTCATGTCGCTTTCAGCCTTACCTGTGACTTTATTTCACTACTTTGTCAAGAGGCCTGAGACTTAATCAGCCAAGAAATTCTGCTTTTAAATTAATGTGTCGAGTTCATTCAAGATTTTTATACAAGCTGTTAACACTGACACTAGGATTAACTTTTATGGAGCAACCAACATCGCATATCTGTGATATCAGAAATTATTATGTAAGTTTATTCGTAGAAATTGAAATCTGATTAGTAAATAAATTTTAGAGAAGCACAGAATTATTATCTTCAAAAGGTTTTCATATTAAATAACTTAATGATGCCGTACCGACATCGAAACAAAATAAATTCACAATTTTCATTGAATTCTCAGATATTGACACCATCAATCTGCAAAATAATTTGCGTTTCTTTGAAAATAAACATTAAACAACGTTTATAGTGCAGTTTTCTCACGAAAGTGTACAACAATAAATGAATCTTTCAGCTTTCTGCTCAAATATTCAATTTGTTATTGATTCTTTATTATTTATCAAGAAATTTGGTTTGCGTGTGAGAATTAGATTGCATGCATAGTAATTTAGCCAGCAACCTTGAATATTTCATAGATTAACAACTGTCAATAATTCCATTGTCTGATGAAAATAATTTCATATTGGCAAAGAGTAATTAAAATTAAACTCTGTTTTTCTCTCTTCATTTTATTCAATATTCTCCTACGTTACCGTATCAAATAAACTTAAATTGGCCATGAATTCTGGGTCCTGAAATGAAAAACACCAAAATAGTTAGTACCGATTGCCTGCATTGTATTGCATACAACTTACCTGAGTGGAGACACGGAGAAATTCATCTTTTGATATCTTTCCATCTCGATCAAGATCATATTTCTGAAAAGTGACGTTAGTTTGAAAAGTTTTAAAAAGTATTTAAATGAATGAATGAATTCTAACCTGAATTAAATCAATTAATAAATCTCCACAAACCTCTAGATTGAATTAATCTAGTGCTTATTGGTGATTAGCTTGGAGAGGTTATTTCCAAAGTTCCAACGAGAAGTCGTGAACTATGGAACCAACCAATTTGAACATGAAGACATGAGATGGAGGTCGCGCTATGTGGATGACATATGGGCTACGTAGCTGCTGACCAATAAACACTCCTAGTTTTTTAGATGTCAGTTCGTTAGATTCAACACTTATTATAAGATTTCTACATCAAGCATTCGTTTCCATTCTGGATTAGATTGTCACCTTAGTCCCACATAGTATTGTTAACATTACTAATAGTTTTTAGTAATTATATAGTTGAAAATCACACTGCTATTGTTTAAATTTAGATTCCCGAAGAAAAGCTAATGGAATATTTACTTCTATTACGATTGTAAATAACCTGGAAGTGTAAAATATGATACAGCTTTTCATTGTTTATTTCCCATCCAACTTCTAACTTATGTATAACTTGATACAAGAGAGAAACCTATCACTCCACGCTTTCTCTTTCTAACATTAGAATATCGCAAAACTTGCTTTTCTGAAACCTTTTTATAATATAAACCTTCCCAGTGGTTTACATTTAAGAAACATGAACACCAAATTTTCTGAAGAATGAGATTAAACACCGTTGGCAAACTCCCTTATGGATTATCAGTTGACTGTTTGAGATAGTCGTAGTCTAGCAGACTAGTATTTATACTGGATGATGACTAAAGGTGAGATGAAGATCTGAACTGCGGCGGGATTCGAATCAGCTACCACCTTCAATCATAACCCAGTATAAACTCTCTTATTATTTACTCATGACCTCCAGTTCATTTCTTCAACAACGACATAAACCTGACTTCTAAACAGAATATGTTGAGTAGATTTCACTTATTAAGACACTAGTCGTTGATATGATCAAAAAAATTAGTTGCTTATGGGGACTGTAATGGTGGTTTATTCTATTTACAGTTTAGTGCCAATCATTTCATCAAGCTTGGTGTTTGAGCATAAACATCAGAACGCCAAAGCTTTGAGAGTGACAAAACATTGATATTTCATTTTTAGAAAGGAAAGGAAATTTCAAAAGTTGTAAACTTATCAAAAAGTGTAGAAGTGTGATCAGTGGGTAAAAGGGGATCATTCTTATACACATCTGACTAAGCTGTAGTTTTTGTTATTTCGAATTACAGAACTGTACTGAAGTCAAAACCTATGGAACCGTAAACAATTTTCGTGTAAAATACTGGCAGAAGTAGCGTTAATCAAAATGATTTATAGCGACTACCATTCAATAAATTTCTCCTAAACATAAATGTAAATTTGACAACTTAGTTTTACTTATTCCAAAAGGAAGCGAATGTTAACTTACAATAAACATTGTATTTACCCTATCTTCAATAGCGTGAACAGCGTTACCGAGAAATAATTTATCACCCAGTAACTCATATATTGCTTGCACAACTTCCTTGAGTTCTGATCTGCTTATGTAACCATCTTCATCAATATCATATAAAGAAAATATCCATTTGATCTTATCCATTTTCGAACCTCTGGTTAACTTCGATAGGCCACAGGCGAATTGCTGAAAACGTTAGGAGTAAAGCAGTTGTTAAGAATATGAGCACATAAAGCTTAAAAAAGTTTCCTTATTTCAGAATATAAAAATTATCACCAAGTAAAGTTCTGCAGCATACATAAAATGATGGCATACTTTGTTCAAAATAAAAAAAAAATGATTTTGGTGCGTCACATGTCAGCAGTCAATCAATAGCAGCTAAAGTCTCGAGACTGATTGCACTTACGAGAAAAATATATCTGCAAACTTATTAAAATGTGTATTTTATCCAGGTGCTTAAACCAAAGTCACCTAGTTGAAGATATGACAGCTGATATTTAAAGGCTAAAAAACATCTGTTTATAGATTTTTACAGTCGTTTCCTCAGGATCTCTGAAGTAATATCATTTTTGAATTCAAGATTCAGCAAAAGAATATTTTTCGGTACTGAGGACACAGTTGACGGAGAACTGCAAATACTTCAACGAACTCTAACGAAAAACAGTTTCGCGCTCAGATTCATAGATATGAACATAAAGTCAAAGAACCCAAGTGAACGAAGACATTTGGCACCGAAAAAGATTTTTTGTTGAATCTTGAACCCAAAAACGATATAAAACATCTATGGTGCTGACTATCTTACCAGAATAGTTTTGCAAACTGAGCTAATTTTATTAAATCATTTCAGTTTTTTACTTCAGAACTCACTTTCAAGTAAGCATTGAATAAAATACCATAGTTCTACCAAGAAACATGAATATTCATGCAGAACTATGCACCTATTAACTACTTAAAGCATGTATCATTCTTAACTTCAAAGAATCCCAACATTGTGATAATTTATATTGTACTTCAAATATGTGTAGATACCATCCAAATGAATCAAACCCTTCAGTGTCAACCAGTAGTAAAGAAAATGTAGAGACGAATTTGATTTCTATCACAACTAATAAGAATGAATAAGTTAATTTGGTTTAAAAGGCAACTAGGAATTGAAAACCTTGAAACCAGTATTCTAGAGCAAAAGAACACTTGTGTAAACGAAATGTTTCGACAAATAATGTTTTTTCCCAGTAGAATAAGCTTAGTGCCACGCTGACTTGCGGACCAAATGGTCAGTTAGTGGAAGTAAGTGCTTCAATATAATTTTAAAAACGAACTTCAGTAATGATATTGAAACATGGGATATGATACGAATGAAACTTTGCTTAACAACAACAACTGGACAGAAGACAAGAGTGAGTTGGAAACCCGAAAGACAGATCACCAGAAGGAAACTATAGTATTATTACAGATGCTTATCATAGTGGACTTCTGATTACTTCAAACAGAATTAAGAGGGCAAAAATATCCACCTAAGAGGCCGAAAACCTGAAAATTATGTTTTGTTTTGGGAAAATCCTATCTAGATTATTAAAAAAAGAGTAAACGTGTGACTTAATTAGTAGCATAAACACGTGTAGCAATCCATTTTTAACTGCATGAGTTGGCCAATATGTGACATAATAACACCAGGAGGTATATTCTGTCATTTATTGGAATGTGGAGTTCAAACCCCATTCTCCATACGTTAATTTGCAATGCTACCTCTACTTTTATTCTGTGAAACGGTTTAGTGATCAGAAGCTGATGCTTCTCTAGCCCTTGTATCACAGGTTTGAAACAGATACAAATCGTAACATTTCGGTGGTCAGTTAGAAACATCTGTCTCCTAACAACACAAATGACTCCTGGTTCTTTATATTATCCTGTGTGTTACCACTGAATAGAGCTGTTCATTTGACATTTTTATGAAAAGTGACAACTTTGCATAGACTCGTGGTATAGCATCACATACAGTGTTGGTTTTAGTCGTTACGTATAGACAAATAGTGAGCAGAACAGTGATATATACACAGAACAGGCAATGTTTGACATGTTTAACATAATGAGGGTTGAACATATCGAGGGGATCGATGTTAAGCCGTGACGCCAGTCACTAATCACAATATTTAAGACGTATACGAAGAGATCCTTCCTTTCGTACATAGTTTAAATACGTGGAACACTAACAAAGCCAATGGCTTCTTAGACTGAATAAGTGAATCACATTAAGCAGCTTTGTTTATTTGTAACACGAAACTAGATAAAAAATGTGACAGATAAAACAAAACTGTGTGAACCATTGATGAGTGTGGAAGAAAAAAGACAGAAATAATTTATTTAGTGCATGGTTATTACTATTCAAAACTTACTACAATGACTAGATAAACAAAATGTTACTAACCAGCCTATGCCTGCTGACCAATTTATAACAGCGAAAACCACCATTAAGAGAAACCAGATCCAACTTTTTATCCATATTAGCCAGCCGTTTCTAGAAGAATACTACAAAAAACCAGAAATCCTGAAGCAATCCTATCAAATCATGCGGTTGGTTTCAATTTTTCTTCAGAGATAGTTGTAACAGTAGAGCACAGGTTACAGTGGACTGAAAATCGGTTCTTATGTCTTCAGTTAAGATCGACTGAGTACCACTCAGCAGGCAACAACCTGCTGATACGAATAAAAATTCTTTTCACCAGTATTATTGCTTTTATTATACCTTCGTTGACTGGACCAAATTGATTGGTCTCTATTGGTGTGTGGGTTCCTGTGCGGATGCCTCAATATAAAATGTGTTCTAATTATAGTAATGATGGATAGTGGCTCGGTGGTGTAGTGAATAACGGTCTGGTGTTTTTAAGTGGTTGGTCTTGGGTTTGAATACCCTTGGGAAAAGCATCACTCACCGGGAGGCAGGCACGTTCAGCTGACGAGTCCCAAATAGGGCGAAATGTGCATATTGGATTCCACTGCTAGCCATTGTCCATAATTACTATTCTCTTCACTGTTTCAATAGAATGCAGTGACGAAATATTACTGGACATATTTAAATGTATTATGTAAGTAAAACAAACTTTCCTAGAGTTACCATTTAAAGTAATCAACCACTGCAAGATGTAGTCCCTTCAAAAACTGGGAGGAGCACTATTTTTCTGGTGATATTTCGTATTCACCAAATATTTTGCCTAACAATACTGTTAATTGACTCCTCTGTCTTACAAAGATCTAGTCGCGATACAGTTATGCTAAAAGCAGTGAAATAATGGTCCGTAAACGGCATTTTGTCTAAATTCAGCTTTGCTTGCCATTCCTAATCGTCAGTCAACACTCTGTTGAATAAGACATCCATAAAGTTTTCAAAATTTTCTTTGTTTTCATGAATGAAATAAAATTATAAGTGTTGATAAATCAACTAGATAATCGTTTTAAAGTAAATAGGCTACTACATAGTAAAACATCTTTCAATATGATTCGAGAAGCTACTGGTGATGTTCTCGTAGCAAGACGTGATAATCCTGAACTCGATCTCTTGCAGAGTACAGTATCCATACTTCTGGAGATCAAGAAGCTCTCCAATGCTTCCTGATTTTGAATAATTCTCTAAATGATGTCAGTTCAGTGTGAAAACTATCTTGGGATGTTTTCTGCTTTACTGAACAATGAGTTCGCGAAATTCCCCACAAATTTGACAATCAGCTCAACTATTTAATTATCAAGAACTTCTCACAGACTATATTGTATCAAATTACTCATTTTGGGGTTTTTTTAACCTTTTAAATATCCACTATGTACTCCCGTGTTCTTGTAGGTTGTTTTTAACCTATTCTTCCATAATTCGTCAATAAATTTTAGCAAAAACACCAAAGTGAGTGGTACCGAACTCCCAACTGCACATCAGAACACCTTGTATCCATTCTTGAAATAGTTAGTTCGCACATATTTCTCATAATATCGTTTTTATAAACATTATTTAGATGCTACTAGAAAATACTTTACAAGCAGTAAATTTATTGGAATATTACATACCGAGAATTCCATGCTGTAACAAAAATGAAGTAATTATTTCTAGTATTAATTTCACTCCGGTATGATAAACGGAAAAATCTAAGGGGCTGCGATCATTCAAGAACTAGTTATCACTGAATTTAATCGCCTTTAAGACCTACAACAATCACTATTTTGAAGTTGTTTTTAAAAATTCAATCGATGAGTAAAAAACACTTTCTGTCTCTTTTAACCGGTGAATCCAAGGATTAGTTTTGCAGTTCTACCAAGCAGAACAACACGAAATATAAATTAATATTAAGTGATACCATAGATTCGTATACATAACAGAATAACATTACACCACAAACTTATGAACGAGAAGCACTGACTTTGTAGTTATAAATGGAGGAAGTGAAATATTTCATTTTTCCTATTCAACTGAATTTCAAAATATATTCATCTTGTCATCTAGTCATTTCCTTAATCATAGTTTCTCCATAATGTAGTGCAAAATATCTTTTCTTAATTCCATCACATATTTCAAAAACTATTTTATCTCACTACAAATGTTCAGTGTTGATATTTCATATTAGATTTGTTTATTTGATATAAAGCTCACGGTGATACAGTATTATTTACTTGATTACGTTTCGAGCATAGATTATTGCTCATAATCATATCAATGATATGATATGATTATGAACAATAATAATACTGTATCACCGTGCGCTTTATATCAAATAAACAAATCTAATATGAAATTACATTCTACCACAATGCCCAAGTTTTTCACTTATAACAGTGTTGATATTCTTTATAACTGATCCATTCTTGTGTACTAATGTATAGTGTTGTTAAAAGTTACTGTAATCATTACCGCAGCAGTGACAACTCTGTATGTCAACTTTTTTCTATTTTCTCAATCAATAAGTAGACATTTTAACAAAATTTGAAGACCGTATGAAACAAAACTGTCACTATATATTAATCTATCCAAATATGTATGCAAAACAACTTCAAAGATTAAAATTGATGAAGTCTTCTCAGTTGAAATTTGCTCACCTTTGAAATAAGAACATTCATAAAAAACATTTTCACGTTTTGAGATACTTAAAATTGTACCGTCCCTATGTCCATTTAGTTATTAAACATTGTAAACATGTAAGTTATTCTGA